AAAATACGCCCAAGCACCCGTGAGACGCGCCATCCGCCCGGGAGACGCGCCATCCGCCCGTGAGACGCACCATCCGTTCGTAAGATGCGCCGTCCGCCCGTGAGACGCGCCGTCTGCCCGTGAGACGCGTCGTCCGCCTGTCTTTTTGCTCCTGCTCACAAGGCGTTGCAACCCTTCATGATACCACGGCAGAGGGAAACAAACGAGAAAAAAACAAGGAAAACAACGAGGAAAACGAAGCAAACGAAAAAAAAAAAAAACGAGAAAAAACGACCAAGCGCCAGCGAGACGCGCCGCCCGCCCACGAGTCGCGCTATCGGCCCGTGAAACGCGCCGTCCGCCCGCAAGACTCGTTGTCCGCCCGCGAAACGCGCTGTCTGGCCGCAAAACGCGCTGTCCGCCCGCGAAACGCGCTGTCCGCCCGCGAAACGCGCCGTCCGCCCGCTAAACGCGCCGTTCGCCTGCGAGAAATGCGTCCGTGCGCCGTGCGCCGCGATCAGGAACCTCTGCAGGAAGAAACCAACAGCATTAGCAACCGCCAATGAACGTAAACCTTCAACACGTAAGCCGCCAAGGCGGGAAACAGCAGGTAAGCGACGGTCGAACGAGCTGCTACCTCAACCGCAGCGAGGCGCAGCTGGTAAGCGACGGTCGAAGCGTCGCCAAGGGCCGCCGATGCCCCGTGCACGGTTAGGCGAGCCCGAAGAAGCGTCGCCCTTCGACCATACGTCGCCATGAGTCGCCACGTGTCGCCACGCGTCGCCATTCGTCGCCGCGCTTCGCAATGCTTCCACCATCCGTGAGTCGCGGTGCGTCGCCGGCGGACGGTCAGGTTCTCAAGAAGAGCCCGAAGAAGCGTCGCCCTTTGCCTTACGCCACCACGCGTCACCATCCGTGATCCGCGGCCGGGCGTCAAGGTGCGTCGCTGGCAGACGGTCAGGTTCTGCAGTAAGAAGGAACACGAGAATCAGTAAAGGAGGAAGTATAGACACGAAACCGAAGCGTAACCAGCGTAACCGCCAATTCAAGTCGAAAAGCGAGGCGCTCAAGGTCACGTTACCTCAACCGCAGCGAGGCGCAGCTGGTAAGCGACGGTCGCAGCTGGTAAGCGACGGTCGCAGCTGGGAAGCGACGGTCGAAGCGTCGCCAAGGGCCTCCGATGCGCCGTGCACGGTTAGACGAGCCCGAAGAAGCATCTCCCTTCGACCATACGTCGCCGTGAGTCGCCACGAGTTGCCACGCGTCGCCATGCATCGCCTCGCTTCGCCATGCGTCCACCACCCGTGAGTCGCGGTGCGTCGCCGGCGGACGGTCAGGTTCTGCAGGAAGAAAGAACACGAATCCGTCAAGAATCCAGAAAAGAGAGAAAGTAACACGAAACGAAGCGAAGCGCAACCGCCAATACAACCTCAAGGTCACGTTACCTCAACCGGAGCGAAGCGTTGCTGCGATCGTCGCTGCGATCGTCTCGGCGGATCGTCTCGGCGAATCGTCTCGGCGGATCGTCTCGGCGGATCGTTGCACTTGCGGCGGTCACTTGTGACGGTCGTCGTTTTCACGTCTGCAGGAGACGCAAGAGATCAGTACTCGAAAATATAAGATACGAAGGAAAATAATAGGCAAAATGATCTCATTGAAAACGGCTGAAAGGGACTGCGCTTACCTCTTCCTCTTGACAGGCTCCTCCTGGCTTGGCGGAGGTGACAGACTCTTCCGTCTTGGCGGAGCGGCAGCGACGGGAGAGGCCGTCAGGTGAAGACGGCAGCGACGGCAGAGGCCATCAGCTGAAGTCGGCAGCGACGGGAGAGGCCGTCAGGCGAAGACGGCAGCGACGGGAGAGGCCGTCCCGTCAGGTGAAGACGGCAGCAACGGGAGAGGCCGTCCCGTCAGGCGAAGACGGCAGCAACGGGAGAGACCGTCCCGTCAGGTGAAGACGGTAGCAACGGGAGAGGCCGTCTTGTCAGGTGAAGACGGTAGCAACGGGATAGGCCGTCCCGTCAGGTGAAGACGGCAGCAACGGGAGAGGCCGTCTTGGCAAGTTGAGCAACTTCAAGAAGGCAAGATGTTCGCCGAGGTCTGAAATAAAAAAGACATATTAGTTAGTGAGAGCTAAACGTAGACAAGCGACGAGGAGAAGTGAAGTTAAATCAAAGTCCATTGGAGGTAATAGAGCCAGTGATTACGTACTTCAACCCATTGGCAACGGCCGGCGAGGCGACGGTCGGCAAACCAGTTGGCGACGACTGTTGGCGAGGCAACAACAGTTGACGACGCGACTCTGACCCATAAGGTCCGGCCTTTCAGGTTTTCTTAGCTCAAAGCGCAAACGGCGGAGGAACGCCTCTCATGACCCATCCGGAGATCTTGAATTGGGCTTGAACGCGACCCGTCCGAAGATATGGACTTTGGCTTGAATGCGACCCGACCGGAGATCGGACGATAACGACGCTCGAAGCTCCTTTCCTCGTCCGTCTTGACTTGGGTCTGGAAAGAGAAGGCAACAAAATATTAGTACTTAGAGAAGAAGAACGAAACTTGGACAAGTGAGAAGAAGAACGAAAGTTAACTCAAAGCCAAGCTTGGAAACGCAATGATTCACAATGATACCGTGGCGACGGTCGAAGCGAGCCGTGCAGGATCCGTGACGACAGTTGGCGAGCCGTGCCGGATCTTGACAAGCGACGGGAGAGGCCGCTCCAGGAAGCATCTTGACTCAGCATGGCTTTCGGAAGTGGCGCCAGGGGACACTTGGGCTTCCGGCTTGGCTTGGGTTTTGAAGCGCCGTCCCGTGATTGAAGCGCCTACCGCGAGCTTGACTTAAGCTTCAGATCCTCCGAGATGAACAGCGGCAAGATGATCTGCAGGAAAAAAAGGAACAAGTTAGGAAACTTCTCAGAAAATCGTCAAACAGTGAAGGAACTGCAGAAAGAACTTGAACGATGTTGCACAATTCGGGATGTTGAGAAAAACTGCTCTTACCTTCACTCGACCGTCTTCAACTCGGGATGTGGTGAAGACTTGAATGGCAGCGGTTACGGGATTTCGCACGACCATCGGTGACGAGATGTCGCACGACCAGCGGTGAAGGGATGTCGCACGACTAGCGGTGACGGGATGGCGCATCACCAGCGGTGACGGGGATGTCGCACCACCAGCCTGAAGCTCTTTCCGCTTGAACCGCTTGAAGATCTTTCTGCTCTTGTGGAGATGATCTCGCGGAACGTAGATCTTGCAGTGGAGATTACTATCTTGTCGCGGTGATATGTTGCCGCGAGAATCCGTCAGCACACGGTTCGGCTCGAAACACTTGGCAGCTCGCTCCTCACGACACCTACCCAACCCACCCCAACCCCTAACTCAACGCCGCCTCGTGCTTCGAGCTTCACCGTGTACTTCAGGTAGCTTCAGGTGCTCATTACATTGGAGCTCTTTGACAATCCTTCCAAGAGTTTGAAAAGAAAGGAAAAGAACGATACAAAGGCAACATTGCTAAATTATATGGAGCGGATGAAGCTCGAGAGAGGTGCAAGTGGAAGGTTGCTGTTGAAGCACAAGGAAAAGCGTTGATCAGTGGATGAAATAATTCAGTGCAGCCATTCTGAACAGCGGCGCTCGCGGTTCGTCTTAGCGGCTCTTCACTTCAACCCAAAAGTGATAGGTGAATGCAGGTTGCAGTGATAAGAAACAGCATTTACCTAGGTGCAGTGCGGTGGGACGGGGCGCGACGCTGGTGTGGTCTAAATGTGTGGGAGGGAATTCCTGGATCCTGACACCAGGCTGGCCGCGCAGTGCGTTTGCAGTGTGATTTGAATGGATGGATGGTGGTGGTGCAGCTGACCGAAACGGTGAAGAGGTGTGGTAGCTTGTGTCATCGGCCAATAAAATGCTGCGTCGAGATTGCGGCAGGGGACATTCGTCGGGCGGCGCGTGGGGAACATTTTGAGGTGGGCCCACCTTATCCAACCAGGCCAGCCCAGATTGTACAGTACATTCAATTTACACCCTCTTTCTCGCCATTGTGAATTCGGTTATAGTGAAGTCAAGATGGGAAAAGCACGGTTAACGGTGGTTAGATTAAGTCTAGGTATGGTTCAATCAGACAAATCGAAGGTAACTAGGTTTTCCATCAGTTCAGCACAGTTCAGTGTAATGAGAAAGAGGGTGTACACATTTGGGTTTGAAATTGCAGATTGGTTTGACTTGCTCGTATGCAAACGCGTTTGCCAAGGACGCATATTTCGGGCTGGGGAAATTGTTGGGCGTGGTGTGGTGATGCGCAACAGCAAGGGCAGGCTCGAACTTCTAGGAGATGGTTGACGTGGCGTTTTTTTTAGTTGGGCCATGAGTTTTTATGTGCGAACGCGTGTGAGTGTTGCGTGAGGTGCGGGACGGCTTTCGTTTAGTTATGGGAAACGTGAGTGGCGCGGAAAAGTTCAGCTGACTCGCTAAAGCTGACTCGGGCAGCTGGAAATACAATGGTTGGATGAAATGAGATTCACGTGAGCCAATAGAAATGGACCAGGGCATTATCAACAATCCGAACCTCGAGTTGCCGAACCTGCCACACCTAACCCCCTCTCTCTCACCCGTCATTCTCCAGATGTAATAGCTCGAGGGTTGACACACTATCAGTGGTAGTTTCGCCTCTCGTCTTGTTAGATAGCTGTTTCTTGATTCTTGTCTTGTTTACCAGATCTTAGCGCGGTAGTCGAAGTGGAGCGTAAGGGCGTTTCTTGTTGTGGCACACTCTAATCGTCGTTCTTAGTGTTCGTCGCTTTACGCGTTTGGTAGCGTGCTAGCAGAATCAGATCTGGATACCCGACATTTCAGTTGTCGCCCCACCGCGTTCGGTTGCACGCCTCCAGATCTGACGTTTTTCTCACTTGCGGATACCGGGCGGAGTAGTATCATTTGTACGCGGACGATTTGGTCGCGTCACTTTTAACGCATTAGTAACGTTGCGCGTATCGTCGATTAGAGAGCGCGTCGACGGTAGCCGGATGGAAGACGTAAATAAGGAGGGCAGGAGGTGAGTGGCGGGGAGAAACGGGAGAATGGGCGGTGAATGTTTTTTTTGAGGACGGAGAGGATCCGCGAAAGATAACAGGTGAAACCGCCATTTTCCCCTAATTTTCCCCTTTTCCCTCCCCATTTCCCCGCTTCCCCTTCTCTCCCTCTTCACCCCATGACCTAGCCTAGTAACGTCATTCATCTCTCCGCTTCCCAGCTCTCTCCTCACCTTCCCCGCCTTCCCCTCACCTTCCCCGCTCTCCGCTCATCCTCCCGCCCCTCCCCTCGTCTTCCCCGCTTTCCGCTCATCCTCCCCGTCCTCCCCTCATCTTCCCCGCTTTCCGCTCATCCTCCCCGCCCTCCCCTCATCTTCCCCGCTTTCCGCTCATCCTCCCCGCCCTCCCCTCATCTTTCCCGCTCTTCTCTCATCTTCTCCGCTCTCCCCTCATTCCCCCCTCTCTCCCTTCTCCCCCTCAGCACCCCCTTCATATCATTGCCGCGCTCTCTTGTTCCTTCCTTCACGCCCACCCTCATCTCCCACCACTCACTCACCCCTCGTTCCCCCTCTTTCCCCCACCTTCCTGCTTCCCCTTTTTCCGACTCACTCTTCGTCTCCTCCCTTCACCCATACCTGAACTTCGTCCCTGCTCACGCCTTGTCTCCCTCCCATCCACCTCTTGAATCCCTCATCTTCTCGATCCCCCCCCTCCCCCCTCCCCCCTCTCCGCCTCCCCCCTCCCCCCTCTCCCCCCCCCCCCCCCCTCATCACCCTCATCACCCGTTCACCTCTTGACTCCCTCCTCTTCCCGATCCTCCCCCTCCCCCCTCCCCCCTCCCCCCTCCCCCCTCCCCCCTCCCCCCTCTCCCCCCCCATCACCCATCATCTCCCTGAACCCCCTCCCACGACCTATCCACCCCTCATCCCCCTTGGCCCTGACCTCTACTTTCCCCCCTTCATCCCTCATTGGTCCCCACCCATTTTAGTCCTCGTTCTCCTCCCATTTGACTGCTAAGCTGCCTGCTCTGGCAGGTGGTTGGCTTGGCTGTATGTGATGTGACTGCAGGTGATGTGACTGCAGGTGATGTGACTGCAGGTGATATGACTGCAGGTGATGTGACTGCAGGTGATGTGACTGTATGTGACGTGACTCCAAGTGATGTGACTACTGCATATGATGTGAATGTGATTGCATGTGATGTGACGGCTGCATGTGATGTGGTGTGACTGTTGCATATGATGTCGCTGTATGTGATCTGTTTGCATGTGATGTGACTGCTGCATGTGCTGTGGCTGCATGTGCTGGTAGCATGTGCTGTGACTGCTGCAGTCGAATAATTTTATTCCTTAACCCTTGCTGCACTTTCTGTACAGAAACAGCTCTCTGTGTTCCTGGTCTCGCTGACGCACGGCTGCATGTGATTGGCCAGCACCAGGCCTGCTGGTTTCTGCTATGTACAAGTTATGATTTATTTAACTTGTGTATCCTATTTGTATGTAGTGTTTTGTAAAGCTTTTTTTGTATTGCCATGCTGCAGCTATCAGCTAGCCTGCTATGCAATTCCGTCCTGTGGAGGACAGCATGAGCCAAAAGAGTTAGGGGGGGTCTCGCCTTGTGGGTGTGTGCTGCATAGATTATTTTTGTTCTGAATATAGTACCAGCGGTTTTGGATATTCATCCTTTAGCCCTGTGAAAAGCAGATGTCCTCAACAGCAGCTAAGCTAAAGAAGGTGCAGGTGTAGACCCATTATTACAAGACTGAAATAGAGGGCAGTTTCCAACTACAAGCGGTGGTAGAAAGAAACTCAAAGAGGCAAATTTGCCCGTCCGTGATCTCCTTTCCTGATCTAAAACGAAATGAGCCCCCCCCCAGGGATCCTCCTCACCTCACTCATGGGGAAGAGCAAACTTAACGAGAAAGAAGTTGTTAAAAGAGTGGGCCTGGCCTTGATCGCCTCGCCTGATGGTACCATCCGGCTTTTGAGGCGCCTCAAAAGTAGCCTTGATCGCGTCGCCTGGTCTTGATTGCGTCGCCTGGCCTTGATCGCGTCGCCTGGCCTTGATCACGTCGCCTGGCCTTGATCGCGTCGCCTGGCCTTGATCGCGTCGCCTGATGGTACCGTACCATCCGACCCCATCCCCTTCTCTTCCTCTTATTCCCGAGGCACCTCAAAACTAGAGGCCTGAAGGGAAGAAAGTTGGACTTCGAGGGAGCGGGTTTGACCGAGATTGCCTGATTGCACCGCCCCACCCACCCCTTACCTGATTGCACCACCCCACCCACCCGATCGCCTGATTGCACCGCCCCTCGCCTGATTGCACCGCCCCACCCACCCCATCGCCTGATTGCACCGCCCCACCCACCCCATCGCCTGATGTACGAGTAGGTGTAGGCCCTTCGCTGTAAGAGCACAGAAGAGGAAGCTAGGAGAAGAAAGAACTTCAAAGGAGAGGGTTCAATCGTGATCACCTGATTGTACCTCCCCACCCCATCGCCTCCTCGTTTTCCTCCTCCTCTTCCTCCCCGTAACCCCTCCCCGTGTAAGACTGCTTGCGGGAACTTCAAAGGAGCGGGTTTGACCGTGATCGCCTGATTGTACCTCCCCACCCCATCGCCTCCCCTTATCGTAGGCGTAGGCCCCTTGCTTGAAGGGAGATAAGATCTTCAAATGAGCGGGTTTGACCGTGATCGCCTGATTGTACCTCCCCATCCCATCGCCTCCTCTTCCTCCTCATTTTCATCCTCCCTTCCCCCCAACCTTCCACCCTCCCCATCCCCCTCCTCTCCCCCCTCGACTACCATCCCATCTATTTCCATATCCGATACCACTGATAATCCCTCATCAACATCCCCCTCCCCTTCTCCTCCTCCCTCCTCCCCTCCATTTCCTCCCTCCTCTTCCCTTCCTCCTTCCACTTCCACTTCTCCCTCCTCTCCCTCCATCCTCCCCCTTGTCCGCCCATCCGCCAGCGAGCGAGAGTGAGTGAGGGAGCGAGGGGGGGAAGTGTTGGGGGGGGAGGCGGAGGAGGAGGGGGAGAGGGGCGGGGAGGAGGCGTTGGGGGGGGAGGAGGTGGAGGGGCGGGTGGAGGGGGAGGGGGAGAGGCGGGGATCGTGTGTGACGATGTAATGAAGCAGGTCGGGATGGATTGTAGGCGGTGCTGATGGGTTCACATCCTCCTCTGTCAACCAAAAGTCCTGCACTTCTGAGTATTTCTGGTGGTGGGGAGAGAGAAGACGGGGAGGGGGAGGGGAAGGGGGGAGACGAGAGGGAAAAGGGCAGAATGAGGTGGGAAGAGGTGGAAAAAGGCGCTGATGGGTTTACATCCTCCTCTGTCAACCAGAAGTCCCACAATTCTGAGTACTTCTGGTGGTGAGGAGAACAGGGGCGGGAGAAAGTGGAGGGAGGGAGAGGGGAGTGGAGGGGAGCGGAATGGAGAGGAAGGGATGAGGTGAGTGTGACAAGGTGAGTGCGATGTGGACATAAATGAGGTCATTGAGATACCAGAGGTGTGACAATAACGCAGGCAGGGATGTGACCATAACGCAGGCAGACATGTGACTATAGCGCACGCACTTTCATGAGCTGCAGGCGCATGCGCGTGGTGGTGACACCTGTCGCCATGGCATTGGCCGAGAGCACCGAGAAGTGTGTGAGTGCCTCCACTATCGCCCCCTTGCGCTGCTCCTCCTGCCATACGAGCATAGTCACAGCAAGTGCATAGCAAGAAAGAACGTGAGCAGCACAGTCTGAGCACATAATTGGATTGGATTGGATTGGCCGGCAACAAGGTGTGCGTCAGTGCCTCCCCTATCGACCTCTTGCGCTGCTCCTCCTGCCATGCCAAGTGCATAGCAAGAATGACACACCGCAAGCAGCACACCGCAAGCAGCACAAGAGGAGCACAGCACTGGCTGGGAGCACCGCCAAATGCGTCAGGGCCTCCCCTATCGCCCCCTTGCGCTGCTCCTCCCGCCCTGGTGCATGCATACATGACACGAAAGGGACACACCTACACTGTCACACAGCAACCTGACGGAAAACAACCTGACGGAGCTACAGCAACCTGACGGAAGGACAGCAATCTAACGGAGGGACGGCAACGCGGAACGAAACCAGAGCCAAATGAGACGAATAGGCTTGCCTCGTATGTCATCATCGCTGCAGACAAAATTATGCCGCCTGACTCCTCGTCCGAGATTACGCAACTAGGGCAAGCTCACATATACTGTGCCAGTTTTAGAAAAAAAGGGTGCAATTAGGAACGTCACATAGGGTTAGACTTGGACCGCGAGGAAATATTGCGCCGACGGTGTTAGGACGCGTCCACTGAAGCGGATCGGCCGAAGATTGGCCGATCCGCACCGATCGTCACTTCGAGCCTAGGCTCGGTAGAGATCGGTGCCCAGGACTGCGCAACTACGGCGCACCGATATACAGGTGACAGGCTCGGTAAGGCAGGTTTCGGGATTGAGGTACATCCAACCTGCGACAACAGCTAGGTTGTCGCGAGTAAAAGTCGCACATGGAAATCCACTGTATGCGACGTCGTGCAGTAACAATGCGACGACGAGCGAAGGAGATCGATTTTGACTGTCACTCGTGGCGCGAAATTCCACACCGCGCCAAGCAATCTCACGCTCGATATGTGCACTTCGCTACATCGATTGGGGCTCCCGTAAGTGACAGGGTGGTGGAACTTTGTTTACTGTACATTCGTAAACATTGGCGAGACTAGTTACCTTGCTGATTACGACACTACAGTTCTACACCCCACGCGCAAAATCGATCTTCCAGCCGATCGATCCGCTTCAGGGGACGCGTCCTTATGAACACACAGAGGCTCTCTCCAGAACTAGGAAGCCGCCAGGGAGTAGGTTTCCGAAAATGCTCGGTTCCAAAAGGTTTGGCACGGGGAATCGGAGAAACTTTTTTTCATTTCATTTTTGCTTAATACCCATTTCGACCATTCTAAAAGTATTTATACCACTGTAAAACGTGAAACATCTCATTGAGCCGCATTGAAACGAACGAGAATGACCCGCCCTTTGGGCATAGCAGCAGCAGATGGCACGGTCACCGTATCCGTGGGTGGGGGATCATTTGGGTGATGTCGCATCAAAGGGATGTGAAGTCTTTTCTGCTCGGTTTATTTGGTTTTAAATTCGGTTCCTTTGGTTTAGGTTCCTTGGGTGTATTGTTCCTAGATTGTTCCGTGACCGGGGGTGACTGGAATTTGACTGCTACGTTTCAGCTCGGATATTCCCTTCCCAATGCCAGAGATTCAATTTCATGCTTTCCGTCCGATCAACCTAGGGAATTCCGTCAGCCTGTCCGTCATACTCTATTCCGTGTGCATCATCGTCTGCGCGTTCCTTCCTCGCATTCCAGCAAGCACTACTCCTTGATAATCTTAGTCCTGGTATAGAACCTGGGGAATTGCGTCCGGCTGTCTTGTCTTGTCATTCAATCTTCATACTTCCTTCTGTCTGGTGTATCATCCGCTGCGCGTTCCTTCCTCGCATTCCAGCAAGCACTCCTCGATAATCTTAGTCCTGATATAGAAGCACTTAGGATAAAAATCACAAGTTGTCTGATAGTCCAGGCATTCATGGCTGCATACGAGCAAGCATGAGCAGCGGTGGTGCTGGCTAGTCTCTTCGTCTTTCCCGAAACCGTCCGATTGATGATCGTACGGATCAGAATCAGGAAATTCTGGAGCCTGACGTTTGTAGTCGTCATTCGGAGCGTAACAATTTTGGTTACAAATTGTAGCGAATCTTGTCACCAGTTGCGACCTCCTGTGTCTTCTCACGTCTCAGCATAACGGCCTGGTTTTGAGACGTCTCAGACCTTGAGGGTCTAGCTTCACCGTGAGTCTGCAGCCGTTCATTGCGGAGACACAGAGGCCTGTTTTTGAGGCGCCTATTAACGAACTTGAGGGTCTAGCTTCACCGCGAGTTTGTAGCCGTTCATTGCGGAGGCACAGAGGCCATGGCTACACATCAATCCTCCGCTGCAGATCCCACTTCCCCAGTGGCGACAGTTGAGACGTCTCATGAGACCATGACAGCGCAACAGTCTTCCGCTGGAACCGCCACTCCCCCAGATCCTTCCGCCATTCCCTCAGATCCTTCCGCCAATCCAGCAGCGCCTTCCGCCACTCCTCCTGATCCTTCCGCCTCTTCCCCAGCGGCTTCCGCCACTCCCCCAGATGCTTCCGCCACTCCGTCAGCGCCTTCCGCCACTCCCCCAGATGCTTCCGCCACTCCGTCAGCGCCTTCCGCCACTCCCCCAGCACCTTCCGCGACTCCTCCAGATCCTTCCGCCACTCCCTCAGATCCTTCCGCCACTCCCCCAGCGCCTTCCGCCAGTCCCCGAGCGCCGTCTGCTAGTCCTCCAGCGCCTGCTGCGCCGCCGTTGGCGGAGGCAGAGGGAGGAGGGCAGGGTCAGGATGAGGGGCAGAGTCAGGGGCGAGGGGAGGCGGAGCGGGGCGGAGAGGAGGGGGGAGGAGGAAAAGAGACGCAATCGGGTGGGGGTCAGGGGCAGGGGCAGAGCGGGGGAGGGGAGACGGCGGAGAGCTGGTACAAGATAAAGCGCGTGGCGTTCCTGGGGCGGCAGCAGGTGCCCATCGTCATGCAAAACGACAACGGGCCCTGCCCCCTGCTTGGCATTGGTGAGCATCATTTCACTCCACTCCCAATCTCCCCCTCTGACCGTGACTGAAAGACCTGTGGGTCGTTCCTGGGGCGGCAGCAGGTGCCTATCGTCATGCAAAACGACAATGGACCCTGCCCCTGGGCATTGGTAAGCTCTTCACCCCCCTGCCCCTTCCTTGCATTTCTGCTCACCCCCTTACAAACAGCCATCACCCACCCTCCCTCCTTTTACAACATTCCCCCTTGCACTCACCTCATCCCTCCTCTGTTCATTCCCCCTTCCATCCGTCCCCCTCTTCCTTCTGCTGCTCCGCAACACCATCTCCCTCCGCTCCAGCGCCACTGAGATCTCTTTCGAGTCAACTCAGAGCACGTGTTTCTATTCCATATTCCCCTCTCACTTCCTTCCGTCGCAGCCAATGTGTTGCTGCTCCGCAACGCCATCTCCCTCCGCCCCAGCGCCACCGAGATCTCCCAATCAGACCTGCTGTCTCTGGTGGCACACCGACTGCTGGACAGCAACACAGGCATGGAGGTATGTGCGTGGAAGGGGGAGGTTCTGGGTGAGAGTGTGGGGGAGAGCGTAGGGGAGAGTGTGGGTGAGTGGGTGAGGAAGTAGCATGGCATCTCCCAGTGGGACCTGCTGTCTCTGGTGGCACGCCCACTGCTGGATAGCAACACAGGCATGGACGTATAAGCGTGGAATGGAAAGGGAATGGGGGGGAGAGAGGGAAGAAGGGGCGTTGGAAGGAAGAGCATAGCATCTCCCAGTCAGACTTGCTGGCTTTAGGTGCCGCACTGTCTGCTGGACAGCAACACAGGCATGGAGGTGCGTGCAAGGGGGAGGGAGGGAAAAAAGGGGATTGGTGGGGACGGGGAGGGGGAAGAGGGGAAGAGGTGAGACAGGAGAGTCTGGCATTTCTCAGTTGGATCCTACCAGCAGCAGAACGTGGCGGACTGCATGGCTGACTTGAACGTGACTTGCTGCTCCTCACTTTCGCATCCGTCCTTCCTTCCACCCTTCTCAGGGTCGCTCAGCAGAGTACATAAGCAACAGGCAGCAGAACGTGGCAGACTGCATGGCTCTGCTTGAACGTGACTCACCCTTTTTCCTCCATTCAACCCCTCGTCAACCTTCCTTTCCTTCCTTCTTTCCTTCCTCTCACCTCTTCAGGGCTGCTCAGCAGAGTACATAAGCAACAGGCAGCAGAACGTGGCAGACTGCATGGCTCTGCTTGAACGTGACGTGACTCACCCTTTTTCCTCCATTCAACCCCTCGTCAACCTTCCTTTCCTTCCTTCTTTCCTTCCTCTCACCTCTTCAGGGCCGTTCAGCAGAGTACATAAGCAACAGGCAGCAGAACGTGGCAGACTGCATGGCTCTGCTGCCGCGCCTCGCCACGGGGATTGACGTCAACGTGCGCTTCACAGGGTAAGCTGGGGCGTGCAGTGCGGTGCAGTGAGATTCAGTGCGGTGCACAGGGTGTGATGGGGCATTCAGTGCGGTGCAGTGCGGTGCACAGGGCCGCTCTCCCGGGTATGGGACCAACCGCCAGCAGAACGTGGCAGACTGCATGGCTCTGCTGCCCCGCCTCGCCACGGGGATTGATGTCAACGTGCGCTTCACAGGGTGAGACGGGGCGTGCAGTGCGGTGCATGGGGTGATACGGGGCGTGCAATGCAGTGCTCAGGGTGAGATGGGGCATGCAGTGCGATGTTCAGGGTGAGCTGGGGTGCATACGGCGGTTGAGTGCGGTTCACAGGGTATGAGTGCGATTCCTTTTGTGTGTGAGGTAAGGATTTTCAGGATGAGCTGAGTTCAGTGACTTCAGCCTTCCCCACTCCCCACTCTCGTTGCGTGTATCTATCCCATCCCCATCCACATCCCCCTCCCCCTCCCTCGCCCCCTCCCTCACCCCCTCCCCTCCCCCCTCCCCATCCCCATGCATCAGCATCCACGCGTTTGAGTTCAAGCCAGAAACAGCCATCTTTGACCTGCTGGACATCAGCCTTCCCCTTCCTTCTCTCTCCTTGCGTTCCCCCATTCCCGTCCATCCCCATCCTATCCCGTCCACCTGCTAGACATCAGCTTTCCCCTTCCATCCCGTTCCTTGCTTGCTTGCTCCCCCGTCTCATCCCCATGTGTCAGCATCCACGCGTTTGAGTTGACACCAGAGACAGCCATCTTTGACCTGCTGGACATCATCCTCTCCCCTTTCCCCTCCCCCTCCTCGTTCCCCGTCTCCTTGCGTGTTCCCATCCCCATCCCCATCCCTCATCCTCTCCCCCTTCCCAGCATCCACGCGTTTGAGTTCACACCAGAGACGGCCATCTTTGACCTGCTGGACATCAGCCTCGTGCATGGCTGGCTGGTGGACTCGCAGGTATGGTATGCTATGCTGTGACAATCTGGGGTGTGCTATGGTATGGTATGGTATGGTATGGTCTGGTATGGTATGGTATGGTATGGTATGGTATGGTATGGTATGGTATGGTATGGTATGGTATGGTATGGTATGGTACAAGGTGCAAAAAAGCGACGTTTTTTTCAAATTTTGATCGTAAAATACCGTATCGTAAGAAACGATCGTAAAAAACGATAAAAAACGGTTTTTGAAAATATTTACTTTTGGTGCAAAAAAACCTTCGTTTTTTTCAGTAAAAAGACCAAAACTGCTGCTGAAACAAGGGGATTGACTGGTGAGAAGAACAAGGGGGCCGTTAGAAGTGCTGATGATGCAGCGGAAGATTCTTAGAAGTGCTTTTGTGATCAGAACAGCATCTTTGAAGTTGAAGAGTTTTTTTTGTCTAACAAAAAAACGACTTTTTTTCCCAAAAGATACCGTAAAAAACCATAGAAAAAAACAATCGTATTTTTCGACAATCGTTTTTTTCTACCTTGGTATGGTATGGTATGGTATGGTACAGCATGCTGCCATCTTCGACGTGCTTCCTTGTGCATGCATGGATGGCTAGTGGACGCCCAGCCCAGGTATGGTGGGGTGGTATAGTATGACACGGCGGGGTGGTATAGTATGACACGGCATGGTGGGGTGGTGTAGTATGACACGGCATGGTATGGCATCTTCGACCTGCTGGACATCAGCCTCGTGCATGGCTGGCTGGTGGACTCGCAGGTGAGCATGATAGAGCACGGTAAGCACGGTACAGCACGGTACAGCACGGTACAGCACGGTACGGCACGGTAGAGCATGGTACAGCATGCTGCCATCTTCGACCTGCTGGACATCAGCCTCGTGCATGGCTGGCTGGTAGATACCCCAAACCCTGATCCCTGAACCCTGTGATCCCTGAACCCTGTGATCCCTGAACCCTGTGATCCCTGAACCGTGTGATCCCTGAACCCTGTGATCCCTGAACCCTGTGAACCCTAAACCCTGTGAACCCTGAACCCTGTGAACCCCATGCAGGATTCAGCGACAGCAGCAGCGGTGGGCTCTCTTTCCTACAGCTGCATCAAGGAGCGCCTAGTCACCCTGCAGGCCTCCCAAGTGGTGAAACCCCTCTCAACCCCTCTAAAACCCCTGACCTACAGGACTCGGCAACAGCAGCAGCAGTGGGCTCCCTCTCCTACAACAGCATCGTGGAGCGCTTAGTCGCTCTGCAGACCTCAGATGGCGTTAAAACCCCTCTCAACCCCTCTAAACCCTACACCCAGGACTCGGCCACAGCAGCAGCGGTGGGCTCCCTCTCATACAACAGCATCGTGGAGCGCCTCGTTGCTCTGCAGGCCTCAATAGCATCAAAACCCCTCTCAACCCACCCCAGGACTCGGCCACAGCAGCGGCTGTGGGCTCCCTCTCATACAACAGCATCGTGGAGCGCCTCGTTGCCCGGCAGGCCTCGCAAGTGATTCAAACCCCTCTCAACCCCCCTGAAACCCGCTCCCAAAACAGGACTCGGCCACAGCAGCAGCAGTGGGCTCCCTCTCCTACAACAGCATCGTGGAGCGCCTAGTCGCCCTGCAGGCCTCCCACCCCGACCTTGCTGCTGCTCTGCTGGGCGGGGGAGGGGGAGGGGGAGGAGGGGGAGGGGGAGGGGGAAGCGGGGAAGGGGGAGTTGGGGGAGTAGGTGGTCGGGAGGGACTAGGAGAAAGAAGAGGGGGAAGTGGGGATGTGGGAGGTGGAGGGGGGGGTGGGGGGGGAGGTGGAGGGGAAAAAGGGGGTGGAGAGGGACTAGGAGAAAGAAGAGTGAGAAGTGGGGCCGGGGAAAGAGGGGATGTGGGGAAAGCAGGGAGTGGTGGGCGGGAGGGTGGGGAAAAACCAACAGCGGGGAAAGAAAAAAAGGAGGGGGAAACAGTCCTAGGAGATGAAGGAGATGCAGCGAATGAGGGGGAGGGGGAAGTGACAGCAACAGCCCTGGCTGAGTCCCTTGCCTCTCTTCTCCTTTCCGAACCTTTACCACTTTCCAATCCGTCACCGGTTTCTGAGCCTCATCCAGCTTCCGAGCCTGTTCCTGCATCCGAGCCTGCATCGGTTTCCGAGCCTCGTACATCCTCCGAGCCTCTTTCTGCCTCGGCTGCCCGAGCCTGTGCTGCTGCAGAAGAAACAAGCGGGGCGGAGTGTGAGAGGGATACAGAGGGAGAAAGTGTAGAGAGAAGACAGAAGGGTGGTGAGGGGTTGGAGGGGGTAGAGAGTGGTGCAGAGTCGAGGCAGGGGGGTGAGGCTGCTTCTGCTCCAGAAAGGCCTGCTGAAGAGAAGGTTAGAAGCGACGAGGAGCAAGTGAGGAGGGAAGAGGAGGGCATAGGGGAGGACGAGGAAGGGGGGGGGGAAGATGACGGGAAGGAAGACCAGAAGGAAGGGGAGGAACGCAGGTGTGAGGATGGAGTGGGGAGGAGTGAAGCGGGAGCTGCACTGGCAGTAGGAAGGGGGGAGCAGGCAGGGGGAGGGGAGATGCGGGATGATGTGCGGGAAGGTGAGTTGGGATGGGGGCTGGGAGGGTTCTCTTTTGCTTTCTGTTGGAACCAATTATATTTTGGGTGCCTCAAACGATGTGGAGATATGGGGAGGGGAGATGCGGGATAATGTGCGGGAAGGTGAGTTATGTGCGGGAAGGTGAGTTATGTGCGGGAAGGTGAGTTATGTGCGGGAAGGTGAGTTATGTGCGGGGTCTTAAGAAGTCTCAAGTGGTCCTGTTTTGCGTCGACTCAAAACACGAGATGCGGGATGATGTGCAGGAAGGTGAGTGATGTGCGGGAAGGTGAGTTATGTGCAGGGTCAGGAGAATTCTCAAGCGGTCCTTCAGTGAGTTATTCCTAACCAGGTGTGCTTTTTTTAAAGAGGTGACTTTTGAGTCGACTCAAAAGTCATCCGGGAAGGTGAGTTATGTGTAGGGTCAGAAGAAGTCTCAAGTGGTCCTGTTTTGCGTCGACTCAAAACACGAGATGCGGGATGATGTGCGGGAAGGTGAGTTGGGATGGGGGCTGGGAGGGTTCTCTTTGGCTTTCTGTTGGAACCAATTATATTTTGGGCGCCTCAAACGATGTGGAGATATGGGGAGGGGAGATGCGGGATAATGTGCGGGAAGGTGAGTTATGTGCGGGAAGGTGAGTTATGTGCGGGGTCTTAAGAAGTCTCAAGTGGTCCTGTTTTGCGTCGACTCAAAACACGAGATGCGGGATGATGTGCAGGAAGGTGAGTGATGTGCGGGAAGGTGAGTTATGTGCAGGGTCAGGAGAATTCTCAAGCGGTCCTTCAGTGAGTTATTCCTAACCAGGTGTGCTTTTTTTAAAGAGGTGACTTTTGAGTCGACTCAAAAGTCATCCGGGAAGGTGAGTTATGTGTAGGGTCAGAAGAATTCTCAAGCGGTCCTGTTTTGAGTCGACTCAAAACACGAGATGCAGGATGATGTGCGGGAAGGTGAGTCATGTGTCAGTGAGTTTGGTCCTACCAGGTGTGCGGGAAGGTCAGAAGAATTCTCAAGCGGTCCTTCAGTGAGTTAGGTCCTAACCAGGTGTGCTTTTCTAAACGACTTCAAAGTACACGCATAATAATATTTTTGCTCTTGTTTTTTTGCTGCTTTCAATCTATCCCGCTCACTCCATTCTTCCATTCTCCACATTCCCCTCTGCCATCTGTGTCCATTCCCCTACCGTCAGCTCTGCTGCTCTTCACGTTTCTCAACGACACAGCCAGCCAGCTCACTTACCACGGGTAAGGCAAAAGTTCTCTTCCCTATCGCCTCTTTCCTCTCGTTTCAACTACATTTCTTGATTCCTCCTCATCCTTGTCGTCTTCCTCACCTTTTGAGTCGACTCAAAAGTCAGCACGGGTAAGGCGAGGGTTCTTTTCCCGTTCGCCTCTTTCCTCTCGTTTCGACTACATCTCTTGATTCCTCCTCATTAGTGCGACTTTCGAGAATTCTCAAAAGTTCTCTTCCCATTCGCCTCTTCCCTCTTGTTTCGACTACATTTCTTGATTCCTGATTTGAGTCGACTCAAAACTCGACTCATTACACGCGCTGTTTTGAGTCGACTCAAAACTCGACTCATTACACGCGCTGTTTTGAGTCGACTCAAAACAAGTTCTCTTCCCTATCGCCTCTTCCCTCTTGTTTCGACTACATTTCTTGATTCCTCCTCATCCTTGTCGTCTTCCTCGCCTTCCTATTACATCATCCCCTCAATCTTATCTTCGCTTTCTCCTCATTCCGTCAACCACTGTCAAATCTCGGATTCCTCTCGTCAATCCTTCGAATGAATGTTTCCATATGTATTTCCTTTGCATCACCACATGCCTTCCATTACGCACCACCACCACGCCCCTCCCTCGTCCCCATCACACCAGCCTCTTCAGCCTACAGGAGGGAGTGAAGGAGAATCAGCTCTGCGTATTCTTCCGCAATAATCATTTCAGCACTCTCTTTAAGGTGACTCTTTTCACTTATAAAGCTCACAGATACACTCACAAAGCCGTCTCAGGGCTCTGCGTTTTCTTCCGCAACAACAATTTCAGCACTCCCTTTTAAGGTGATTCGGTGGTTTTTAAGGTGAAAAAATATAAGAAATAGTTCAAGGTGAATTCGCTCCACCACACCTCTTTCACTGCTGCCCTTGCCTCCTTCAAGTATTTGCTTTCACAATACCTCTTCCATCTTCTCTTGAGGTGCCTCATAATATTTTTTCATATTACCTCCCTTTTATTCTCTGAAGCACTGCTCATCCCTCTGCCTCATCCCTTTCTCCCACCCACCTCCCTTTCCACATGCTCCCCTCTCCCCCCTCCCCTTGTCCTCAGCGCACCAACCACATATACCTGCTAGTGACAGATAAGGGCTACCTCAACCAGCCAAGTCAAATCCACTCCCTTCACCCCTCTCTTCCCTCCTTTCACGGTAATCCCTCCTTTCCTCCAATCACCCTCAGTGTACCAACCACATCTACCTGCTGGTGACGGATCAGGGCCATCTCAACCAACCCGGCGTCATGTGGGAGAGGTGGGATGAGACAACTCACTCCCTTCCTACCTTCAATCCCCGCCTTCTCCCTGCCATGACCCCCAGAGCACCAACCACATCTAACCCGGCATCGTGTGGGGGAGGCTGGGGCAGGTGGAGGGGGAAAAATCACTCCCTTGCCTCCCTTGCCCCACTTCCTTCCGTGACCCGTCCCTCCCTCTCCCCACCCACAGCGTACCAACCACATCTACCTGCCGGTCACCGATCAGGTCTATCTGAACCAGCCGGCCATTGTGTGGGAGAGGCTGGGGCAGGTGGAGGGAGACAACTCACTCTCCCTTCCCCACCCTGCCACCCTTGTTACCCCCAGCGCACCAGCCACATCTACCTGCTGGTGACGGATCAGGGCTATCTGAACCAACCGGGCGTTGTGTGGGAGAGGCTGGGGCAGGTGGAGGGAGACAACTCACTCTCCCTTCCCCACCCTGCCACCCTTGTTACCCCCAGCGCACCAGCCACATCTACCTGCTGGTGACGGATCAGGGCTATCTGAACCAACCGGGTGTCGTGTGGGAGAGGCTGGGGCAGGTGGAGGGCGACAACACGCTCTGTGAGGGGGATTTTACTCCCTCAACTCTCGTCCTCACTTCGCTCCCTTCGCTCCCTTCTCTTCCGTCTCTCCCACCTCTCCTTGCCTCAGCGCACCAGCCACATCTACCTGCTGGTGACGGATCAGGGCTACCTCAACCAGCCGGGCGTGGTGTGGGAGAGGCTGGGGCAGGTGGAGGGAGACACCACGCTCTGTGAGGGGGACTTCACTCCCTTTGCTCCTCCGCCGTCTCTGGCCCTGGCTCATGGGGGGGAGGGGGCTGCTGCACAGTGGACACACGAGGACGATGCTGCAATTGCCGCTGCTGCCGCTGCTGTGAGTGACACATGCATGTGTGGCTTGGGGCAGGTGTGAGTATGACCAGCAGCTGTCTTTGTGAGTATAGCTTGGGGCAGGTGGAGGGAGACACCACACTCTGTGAGGGGGACTTCACTCCCTTTGCTCCTCCACCGTCGCTGGCCCTGAGTCATGACGGCGCTGCTGCTGCACAGTGGACGCATGAGGACGATGCTGCCATTGCCGCCGCTGCCGCTGCTGTGAGTGACACATGCATGCAGGCATGCTATAAAAGGTGTATTGACCACGTGTGATCATGTGTGACCACGTGTGACCAAGTGTGACCAAGTGTCACTGGCCCTGACTCATGACGGCGCTGCTGCTGCCCAGTGGACGCATGAAGATGATGCTGCCATCGTTGCTGCCGCTGCTGCTGTGAGTAATAGCTTGTAGCTTCCTTCTTGGCTTGTCATTCGTAATTCGTATACTTCCCTTCCTTCTGCCTTTCACTCCTTTTCTGCATGCCTCTCATTCTGCGTGCTTCTACTGTCAGGGCAGGGAAGGATTGGAGCTCGTGCAACCCATGCAAGCCACCCAACGCCCTGACTGACACACTAGCCCATGGGGTAGTCTGAAAAGAATCCTGAATGACTTCCCCCCTGCTCTCCGTGTGCTTTTGAGTCGACTCAAAAGTGCAACCCATGCAAGCCAGCCAACGCCCTGACTGACACACTCGCCCATGGGATAGTCTGAAAGCAATCTTGAATGAATTCCCCCCTGCTCTCCGTGTGCTTGTCTCTCTCTCTGCCTGCTTCTCCTTTCAGGGCATGGAAGGGTTGGAGCTCGTGCCAGGCATGGACGCATACCAGTGAGTCTCTCATCCCACACCGTAGGCCTCACTCTCACCACACCATGCAGGCACACATACCTAGGCTTTGCTTTGAAGGGCATGGAAGGATTGGAGCTCGTGCCTCACACATATGTGCTGCATTCACCGCTCTAGGCCTCACACGTATGTGCTGCATTCACCGCTCTAGGCCTCACACATATGTGCTGCATTCACCGCTCTAGGCCTCACACATATGTGCTGCATTCACCGCTCTAGGCCTCACACATATGTGCTGCGTTCACCGCTCTAGGCCTCACACATACGTGCTGCATTCACCGCTCCAAGAAGCTTAGAGGTAGAGGAGCTCGTCCCAGGCATGGACGCATACCAGTGAGTCTCTCAACGCACTCTTCTAACCTCACACGTTCCACCCCGCACCGCACCGCACCACACCACACCACACCACACCACACCACACCACACCACACCACACCATGCCGCACAGTTACTCAGGCACACACCTGTGCTGCATCCACGGTTCAGCCAGGCATCAACGTATCACAGTGAGTCATCCCACACACACCTCACGTATCACGCATACCACACCCCACAAGCACTCAATCATGCATATTCCATGCTGCCATGCCAGCTTTAAAATTTAGCTTGCTTTGCGTGGAGGAAGGGCAGCTGCCGGCATGGGGGAAGCAGAGGGAGGGGGTCTGTGAAAACCGAAAACTCTTGTTTTTTTTCCCGGACGCCCTCTTCCCCTTCTCCTGCTACTTCTCCGCGTGATTCCTCTCATCTTTTCTCCTGTTGCTTCGCCTCCCCTTTCAGATCGCCAACTGGCTCTGATGTCACAGCAGCAGGAGGTGGAGGCAGCAGAGAGGCAGCAGGCAGGGGGGAGAGGATGTGTGAAGAATGCTCCTTGTCTCATCCCCTTATGCCCTCTTCCCCTTCTCCTGCTACTTCTCTGTGTGATTCCTCTCATCTTTTCTCCTGTTGCTTTGCCTCCCCTTTCGGATATTCAACTGGCTCTGATGTCACAGCAGCAGGAGGTGGAGGCAGCAGAGAGGCAGCAGGCAGGGGGGAGGGGATGTGTGAAGAATGTTCCTTGTCTCATCCCCTTATGCCCTGTTCCCTTCTTCTGCTACTTCTCCTCCCCTTGCACCAGTTCCGACCTTCAACTCGCCCTGATGCTGCAGCAGCAGGAGGTGGAAGCAGCAGAGAGGCAGCAGGCAGGGGGGAGGGGGAGGGGCGGAGGCAGGGGGGGAAGATCAGGGGGAGTACAGCAGGTGCGCAGTGAAGGGGGAAGCGGGGGAGGGGCGTGGGGGCGGGAAGGAGCAGTGGGAGGGGCAGCAGGGCCTATAGATGTGCATCAGTTAGGGGGGAGGGGGAGGGGGAGGGGGCGCGGGGGGAGGGGGGAGGGACGAGCAGTGTCAGGAGTGAGGAGCGACGGTGGTGGTGGTGGTGGGAGGGAGAGCAGCAGTGGGTGGGGCAGCACGTGGGAAGCAGCGACTGGGCTCATATTTGTAAGACATGTGGGATTAATGGGGTGAGGGGAGTGGGAGTCGGGAGGCTGGGGAGGGAGGAGGGAGAGGAGGGGAAGAGGAGGTGAGAAGGACCAGAGGTGTGACGAGTATGCTTCATCTGGGGTCATGTATGGGAGTCAAGTTCGAGAGTTCTCAATTAAAAGTGACATAAAAATGAGAATTCTCAAACGAGGGACGAGAGGTGTGAGGAGTATGGATCATCTGGACTACTCATGCTTGAAATGCAGCAAACCACAGGCTCATCAGAGAACATATACCTGGGTCCTGGACGCATTGCTATGATGAAGCTAAAGAAAGTTCATCTAGATTGCTTATTAAGAGGTACATTTGAGGCGCCTCAAAAGTAGACTCCAGAAAACCACCGGTACAGTCCTCCCCCTTGCTTCCCTTCCCATGCATCTCCCCTGGTTCATTTATCACACCCTACTGCCCCCCCTCCCTGCCTCCCTCCCTCTCTACCTCCCTCTCTCCTCCTTCCCTTACTCTCCCCTGGTCCCCTCCTTTTCTTCAACCCCCCAACCTTCACCAAGCAGGGGAGCACCCAACCAAGATCCCCCTCGCGCCGCACCACACCGCATCACGCCACTTCCTCCCCGCCAACCCCTCAGGGCAGGGGGCAGCGCAGGGGTGGGTCAACGCAGAGTGACTGCTCTCTCATGTGATACACTGTTGCTGGGAAAGGGAGGATATTTTGACGTATCAAGATTCACTGCTTCTGGCCGAGGGGAGGGGAGTGGGGCAGAACGAGTGCCCTTCACTTCTTTCCAATCCTGCTCTCGTGTGACTCTCAAGGTGTTTATGCCCTTACCATTGCTACCAGCTGAATGTGCAATTTATGTGAAGCATGTAAATTGTGACTATGTTGCATCCCCTCGTACAAGCAATTAATATAGAAGTCACTTTAGGAAAGGTTGTATGATGGCATTCTGGTTTGAGTTTTTGATGCTACAACCGGGCGAGGCAGAAGGGCCGATGCAGGCCATACGTTTCCTTCTTTTACTACAAAGTAGAAAACTTTCTCTAGATTACATGGAAAAGAAACGGTCAAAGAGGAGGATATGACGACCTTGAGGGCCGACGTTGTTGCTCACGAACTGGCGGCTGGAAAGCACATCAAACATCCAGGTCGCACCCCTCAAGAAATTCGCTGCGCTGGAACCGCCAGTCGCACACCTTCGCAATCACCTGCCCGCTTTTCCGCCAAACGTCCGCCTACTCCCAAAGCAGCCCAGCCTCCGCACTCTCCGCTTCAGTGTACACGCGCACCTCAACTTGGAGTCTCCACTCCAGCAAAGCAAACCTGCGGATTCCGCGCAGACCTGCGCCCATCCCTGCGCTAGCTTTCTGCGCTCTCAGCCTGTGCAAAGCGCGCCAAGCAGCCCAGGGGCAGGTGTGAGGTGCGAGAGCCCGGATTGGTTGGTTGGGAGGAGCTGGTAATCCCAAGACCCGCCTAGAGTTGGTGGAATTTCTTAGCTCGGCGGAATCCAGGGACATTTTCTTTCTGCAGGGCGTTTTGTTGCAATATCTCCATAGATCAGTAACGCTGATGTCTATAATGCAGTTTAGATCGTGAAGCTTAGGAGGCGGACACAATAGAGTTCTAGGATTGGATATGCGTGCATTCACTGACTCAAGCCGATATTGTGTGAGCAATCCGGTTGTTACCGTATCGCATTAGTTTAAGAAGCTTCTGGGCTCAGGCCCATATGCCCATTAGTTGATCCGCAATATGCCCTCTTTTTCTTCTAAAGCTTCGCTTAGATTCTGCAAGCTATAGCCTTGGACGATTCTACCAATCCAGTTCGACGTGGAATAGAAGAATAAAGTAATTTATCGCGCTATTAGTTCGTTTCCCTGATTCGGCGAAGATGGAGCAAGTAGACGAAGTGGTCGGCAATGTCACGTCATGGTTCCGAAGGTATGCGTTTTCGTGATCAGACGCGCGAGATATACATTGATGATAAATTTTGAGTCGACTAAAAAACGTCCGAGCGGACGAGGTGGTCGGCAATGTCACGTCATTATTCCAAAGGTATGAACTTTTCATGATTAGACACGCATGATTTGAACCGTCCATCGAAATACCTGTAAAGAATAATCGATCTCCTAAGTTTTCATTGTCAGCAACTCCTGAAATCAGGTAATCTTGACGCGTCTACAGTTGTGAGGTTATCCTGTTGTTGTCTTGCAGTCATGAAAAGATAATGGATCTTTAGCGAACTGTTAGTGCAACTTGTCCAGGGATCAATTTCAGTTTTTATGTGTCATTAGTAAATGCCACGCGTTATTTCAAAATGCGTTACAAAACACGCGGGTGTGAGATGTGGCGTTCAATCCTCCACGTAAGCAGCATGCGTATCGCCTTTCTCCTTGTTGTGAACGCTCTCTTCAGTGGTCGCTTGTTCGGTCCGATCGATCGAATTTCTCGTCACTCGTCGGACGCTCCGTCTGGTCCCTCTTTCCATGCCTTCTAGATATCGTACTGCTCTTCTCTCTCGCTCTCCTCTCCCGTGCTGGCAGGTTTGTGATGAGTGCGTTGGAGCATCAGCACGCGCCGTTACCGCAAGACGACATGGACGAGGGCGTCGGCCGTACGTACCGCTTCAATGGCGGCATGCAAGATGAATCGCCCTGGTGGCTCAAATGGTCCAGTACTGCGGTACGTAGTCCCTGGTTACGTACCGGCGTTACGTATCGGGCAATACTGCCGTGTTATCACCTCCCCACTCCCCCCAGCTCCCCAACCCCCCCTTCCTCCTCCATCCCCCTCCCTCTCTTCCCCCCCTTTCCGCTTCCCCTCCCCTCCTCCTTTTCCCCATGTCTCGCATCAAAATTCTCATTCCACTCCCCCACTCCCGGATTTCCCCGTTTCTCCGAACTCCCTTCCAACCCCGTCATATCCCGTTCCCCTTGCGCGCGCTCTTCCCACCCCCCCGGATCCCCGTTCCCGCTTTCTCCGCTCCCCGCTTCCCCAGCCCCCCGGGTACGACCACCGCGCGCCCCAGTTGCAGGACCAGCGGAGCGACGGGGGAAGCCAGGGGCAGGGGTATGGCGGGCGATATGACGACGAGCGGGGCAGCCGATATGGCTATGACGACTATGCTCGGGTGCGTTTGTGAGATGTTATGGTTATGATGGGGGAGGCCAGGGACAGGGGTATGGGGGGGGGTATGTCGATGAGAGGGGCAGCCGATATGGCTATGACGACTATGCACGGGTGCGTTTTGGAGACACTTTTGAGAACTCAGAAGGGGTATGGCGGGGGTATGAGGGGGGGTATGGCGAAGGGTATGAGGCAGGGGTATGGCGGGCGATATGACGACGAGCGGGGGAGCCGCTATGGCTATGACGACTATGCGCGGGTGCGTGTTTAGGCAATATGGGCATGATTGTTTTGCCCAGGCTCAGCGTATTGCACATAGAAATGAAATCGATTGTCGTTAGTGTTGGCAGGTCTTTGTAACGAATTTTTAACGGATCCTCATGTGCGGTTGGTATGTTATGGCTGATCTCGAATTGTTGTTCTGGGATGCATGACCTGCCATGGTGTATCTGATTCTTGGTGGGCTATTGTTGTGGATCCATGGCATGGCATGGCATGGCATGGCATGGCATGTCATGTCATGGCATGTGATGGTGTCATGGAGTGGCATGGCATGGCGTGGCGTGGCATGACATGGCGTGGCGTGGCATGGCATGGCATGGCGTGGCATGGCATGGCATGGCATGGCATGGCATGGCATGGCATGGCATGGCATGGCGTGGCATGAATGTATGGACTTGCGGATTGCATGTATGTTTGGGGTATTGGCTCGAAATGGCTGGTTCAAAATGGCTGGCTTGATTGGGTGCAGGATCGACCATATGACCGAGAGAAGGAAGAGGAGGAGGCGCGGGAGAGGGAGAGGGCGGAGCGCATACGACGAGAGGAGGAAGAGGAGAGAGGTGCGTGATGAAGTGCGGTGCGGATGAGTGGTGAGGTGAAGTGGGTGAAATTGCATGCATGAATGGCTTGGTTGGGTGCGGATTGGACTTAACGACCGAGAGAAGGAAGAGGAGGAGGAGTGGGAGGAGGAGAGGGCGGAACGCATACGACGAGAGGAGGAGGAGGAGGAGGAGGAGGAGGAGGAGGAGGAGGAGGAGGAGGAGGAGGAGGAGGAGGAGGAGGAGGAGGAGGAGGAGGAGGAGGAGGAGGAGGAGGAGGAGAGAGGTGCGTGGTGAAGGCCTGATGAGTGGTGAGGTGAGTGAGATGAGTCGGGTGCAATAGCACGCACGAGCAAACACGCACAGACGCAACACAACGAAGGCACATGCATGTGCACATGCCACGGGCATCCTTATTGATAGAAAATCATCACCGATCATACATAAATGGGAGACGGAAAGGGTGGCTTCACCTGCTTCTTCTGAAACCATCTCACGCCCTGTATTCCCTTCGTTTTCTCTCACTGGAACCCCTCACACTGCCACGTCCCTGCCTTCCCTTCAGCCCGCCAAAAGGCAGAGGAGGAGGCAGCAGCAGAGGCCGAAGCAGCAGCGGCAGCTGCAGCAGCGGCAGCAGCAGCAGCATCGCCACCACCGGACCTGCTATCCATGGAAGATGATCTGCTGGGCCTCGGGACAGACGCAGGGCCGGGGGCTCTGGTGCTCTACAGTGCTCCTAATGCGGATGACCTCATTTCCAAGGCGTTTCAGCAAGAGATCAGCCTTCTGGTGAGTGGGACGGGATCTCGAAATGGTGAGGGAGGGCGATTTACTGGGGCTGGGCACAAATGCAGGGCCGGGCGCTCTGGTGCTTTACATTACAGTGCTCCCACTGCACCTCCTCAGGGTCTCTCCTGACATTGACACGGGCATATCAGAGGCGTCTCTCCTGGAGAAGTTGAATTCAGTGGCTCCAAGGCAGGCAAACGGGGAGGTCGACTTGGTGTCCCTGCTGCTAACGTGTCTCTCCACTTTACCCCCCTCCACCCACCCCAACCACTACCAACCGCAGGACATTGACACTGGTACGTCAGAGGCGTCTCTCCAAGCAGGCCAACGGGGGGAGGTCGACCTGCTGGCCTTCCGTTGCACCCCTTCCCACCGACCCCACCCACCCCATTACACACCCCAACCACTACCAACCGCAGGACATTGACACTGGCACGTCAGAGGCATCTCTCCTGGAGAAGGTGAACTCGGTGGCTCCCAAGCAGCCCAACGGGGAGGTCGACCTGCTCGCTCTGGAGGATGGACCTGTGCCCGCTGCTGCTATTCAGTTTCTTGTTTTCTTTCACCCACCCACCCACCACATCCACACCACCTCCCACCCCAGGACATTGACACTGGCACTTCGGAAGCCTCTTTCCTAGAGAAGGTGAACTCGGTAGCTCCCAAGCAGCCCAACGGGGAGGTCGACTTGCTGGCCCTGCTGTAATGTGTCTCTCCACTTACCACCCTCCACCCACCCCAACCACCTCCCATTCACCAACCTCAGGACATTGACACTAGCACGTCAGAGGCATCTCTCCTGGAGAAGGTGAATTCAGTGGCTCCAAAGCAGGCGAATGGGGAGGTCGATCTGCTGGCTCTGGTGGACGGACCTGTGCCCGCTGGTGCCGCTGCTGCTGCTGGAGGAGGATTGGGAGGGGGGTTGGATGCGACGAGTGGGGCGCTGGTGCTGGTGACACCCATGAAGGGATTCCACGCCACGTGAGTGATTGTGCTATGAAGTGATTCGGGTTTATCTTTTGTCATTGCCTCTTTGAACGGACCTGTGCCTCGCTGCTGCTGCTGCCACCGCCACCGCCACTGCTGCTTTCTCACCCCTTCGTGTCCTTTGCCTACCCTCTCGCCCTGCCCCCGTGCAGACCCACAAGGCACGGCATATGCAGGGCGTGTGAGCGGACTATTCGATTCGGGGAGGTACCTGATTGCTCTGAACCGCCCCTGTCATGGCCCTATACCCATTCTCCCTACCCCTACCCCTGTACCCCTTCCCCTTCACCTGCAGACCCACAAGGCACGGCATATGTGGTGCTTGTGAGCGGACTATCGATTCCGGGAGGTACCTGATTGCTCTGAACCGTGACTGGCATGCCGCCTGCTTCAAGTGCTGCCACTGCCGCCTGCCCATCACTGAGATGCAGGTGAGAGAGCAGAGTAAGGGAGAGGGTTTGTGTGAGTGAGCGAGGGGGCGACAGAGTGAGTAAGTGAGTGAGTGGTGTAAAGAGTTGAAAGCTGGGGCCCTAGATGATTGCTCTGAACCGTGACTGGCATGCTGCCTGCTTCAAGTGCTGCCACTGCTGCCTGCCCATCACTGAAATACAGGTGAGAGAGTGGGGGAGGGAGTGAGAGAGCGAGTCATGTGAATGGGATGAAACATGGGTCACCACCTGATTGCCCTGAACCGCCACTGGTGACTGCCAACCAATCACTGAAAGGCAGGTGGGAGGGAGTGGAAAAAGAGAGAGGCTGTGAGAGTGAGGGAGTGAGAGGGTTGAGAGAGAGCGAGTGACGTTGAGCAGTCGTGTGGTTCTGTGTTGTTCTTTCGAAGTGTCCTCACCAGCTACCTTTGAACGGCTGATCATTCGTGATGTTCCTGATACAATACGTTTTTTAAGTTATTCTCTTATTTTGCTGCTCTTTTCACTGCTTTCCTGTCCCTTGCAGTGCTCTGTGAAGGAAGGTGATACTTACCACACCGAGTGCTACCGCCAGCTCTTCCACCCCAAATGCTACGTCTGCGACACTTATGTAAGTGCCTATCATAAATGATTTTTTTTTTTAGCCGCCTTGATATGTATGGCCTTAAGAGGAACGCCTGGGACCCTTATGTAAGCACCATCCACGAAAACCTTCCCTTGTGTTCCTCTGTAATCTCCACAGATCGCCCCCAGCGAGTCTGGCATGGTCGAGTATCGACTCAACGACCTGTGGCACGCCAAGCACTGCGCCAAGCACAGCCCGTCCTCTGATGGCTCGCCCCTCTGCCACCTTTTGAGTCGACTCAAAAGCAGACTCGCCCCTCTGCCACCTTTTGAGTCGACTCAAAAGCAGACTCGCCCCTCTGCCACCTTTTGAGTCGACTCAAAAGCAGACTCGCCCCTCTGCCACCTTTTGAGTCGACTCAAAAGCAGACTCGCCCCTCTGCCACCTTTTGAGTCGACTCAAAAGCAGACTCGCCCCTCTGCCACCTTTTGAGTCGACTCAAAAGCAGACTCGCCCCTCTGCCACCTTTTGAGTCGACTCAAAAGCAGACTCGCCCCTCTGCCACCTACCCCTTGTTGTTGCCATATATCCCCATATGTATGCTCCCTTGTGCCCTTCCGCAGATCGCCAACAGCGAGTCTGGCATGGTGGGGTACTGCCTTACCACCTGTGGCACGCCAAGCACCTTACCACCTGTGGCACGCCAAGCACCTTACCACCTGTGGCACGCCAAGCACCTTACCACCTGTGGCACGCCAAGCACCTTACCACCTGTCACCGTGTGTGTGTGTGTATGACCCCCTCCACTGTGTGATTCTTTCAGATTGCCCCCAGCGAGTCTGGCATGGTCGAATATCGCCTCAACGACCTGTGGCACGCCAAGCACTGCGCCAAGCACAGCCCAACCACGGATGGCTCGCCCCTCTGTTCCGCCTGCACTCGCCTCCAGGTGCCATCAGTCAGTCAGTCAATCAGTCAGTCGGTCAGACAGTCAGTCAGTCAGTCAGTCAGTCGGTCGGTCAGTCAGTCAGTCAATGGAAGGAACTGAAGGGTCTCTCCCACTTATTGCACAAGCACTGCGCCAAGCACAGCCCCTCCTCTGATAATCTGATTGCTCCTCTCTGCTCCGCCTGCACTCGCCTTCAGGTGCAGTCAGTCAATAAATCGGTCAGTCAGTCAGCCAGTCAGTCAGTCAGTAGGACTCAACAGAACTCTATCAGTCACTCCCACTAATTGCCCAAGCACTGCGCCAAGCACAGCCCAACCACGGATGGCTCGCCCCTCTGCTCCGCCTGCACTCGCCTCCAGGTGCTGTCAGTCAATAAGTCAGTCGGTCAGTCAGCACAGCTAAACAGTTATTGCTCCTCTCTGCACAAATTGCGCTAAGCACAGCCCCTTCACAGATGCCTCGCCTCTCTGCGCCTCATGACGTCTCCTCTCCCGTTTTCTTCCTCCTCCAACCCACCACATGCACGATGGTCGACACAGGCGGTAACCGCACCCTCTAGAGAGTCAGCGCTCGCCCCACTCCCTCATCCTCATAACACTCCCATGGTCCCACCTCACCTCATGGCCCTCTCTCCCCTTGCCTCTCTACCACCCTCCCCTCCCCTGCCCCCCACACCCTCCACTCCTTCCGCTTCCCTCCTGCAGCCCACCACATGCACAATGGTGGACATTGGCGGTAACCGCACGCTCTGCCCCGATTGTAACACCTGCTCCTGGCCCTCCCCTCCTGGCTCCGCGCTCTCCGCCCTCACCTCCTCCTCCTCCTCCTCCTCGCTGGGGACTCTAGTAGTAGAGGCCTCTGAATGTGCCCCTATTTTTGCCTCTGTGCTGAGTTTCTTCGAGGAGGTTGGGTTGGGAGCGGTGCTGAGGGGTGCTGTGGGCGTGATGGGCGACGAGCTCCCGGTGGTTACTGCTGACGTGGCGGCGTTACAAGCTGCTGCTGAGGGCGAGAGACAGGTGAGAGGGAAGGGGTTGGGAGGTGGGGTGGAACAGAGGGGCAGAGGGTGTGAAGAGAGGGAGGGGTTGTTGAATAAGGGAGGGAGGGGGGTGGTTACCGCGGATGTCGCGGCGTTACAAGCTGCTGTTGAGGGCGAGAGACAGGTGAGAAGGGGTGGGGGGGAGGGGGGGGCGAGGGTTGTTGAAGAGAGGGATAGAAGGTGGAGAGCGGAGGTTGTCAGAATAGGGTTGGGGGTGGGGGGGATTGGGGGATAATGGGGATTGAGAGATTTGGATGGAATGAAGTGGAGAGATGGGGAGGGGTGATTCATGTGGTATGCCTCATGTTCCTGATCCCCTTCCCATGTGGCATGCACATGAATGCATCCCTGATCCACATGCATTCCTGGTCTGGCCTGCAAACACAATGTGAACTGTACTAGTATAATCCCACTCTCCATAAATGTGGGGATCCGTTCACAACTCACCACATGCATCCCTGCATGCGTCCCTGCATTCCTGCATGTCTGCTGGTTGCATGGGTTTATATGTACCTGTCTGCACGGTTGCTGCTTCGCTTGGCATGGCATGGCATGGCATGGCATGGCATGGCATGGCATGGCATGGAATGGGATGACATGGCATGGTATTGCATGGCATGGAATGGGATGACATGGCATGGCATTGCATGGCGTTTCTTAACCCACCAGGGTTCATCTCGCCTGGCGGTGGTGCCTGGAGTGTGCCTCACTCAAGAAACCACCATCCAAACAGTAAGTATCATCTCATCCCTCAATATCCAAGCAGTGTTTCTGAATTCTCAAACACAACTTTCAAACAGTGAGTCTCAGTATCGTCTCACCTCTTCGACCCAGCTCTGATCCTTTCACTCACCATCTTCGTTCCCACACCCCTCACTTTCCCCTGCCCGGTGCATATCCAGGTCGTACGAGCACCGGGATCCACAGCAGCGGCCTTTGCAGGCATCTCACATGAAGCCAAGACACTTAACCCAAGTTTCTACCGTCTTTCCTCTCCCTTGTGTGTTTCCAGGTCGTACGAGCACCAGGGTCCACAGCAGCGGCCTTTGCAGGCATCTCACATGAAGCCAACCCTGATCTCTCACCGTCTTCGTTCCTACACCCCTCACTTCCCCTTGTGTGTCTCCAGGTCGTACGAGCACCAGGGTCAACAGCAACGGCCTTTGCAGGCATCTCGCATGAAGCGAAGACACTGACGCATGTCAACTCCACTGCCGTCTCGGGCATTGTCATTCTCTACGGCCTCCCAGCGTATGATCCATGCCCTTCCGTAGACTTGCCTTCATGGAAATGCGTGCATTCATCGACCACCTTGCATATGTTTGTGCATGGACCAACATGTCGTCGTGTGAGTGTATTGTGCACTGCTATCACTGCTGTCACTGACGCATGTCAACTCCACTGCCGTCTCGGGCATTTTCGTTCTCTACGGCCTCCCAGCGTATGTTCCAACAAGGCATTCACCTTCCATGCATGTATCAATGTGCTGGATCACATGTGCCATGCATGCACCATGCATGCACCATGCACCATCCTAACCACCAACTCCACCACACCAACCCACCCATCCCCCTCCTTCCCCACGTGCAAACCTTTCTCACCTCTTCCCTTTCACTCCTCCCATCATGCCCCTTGTATTCTCGCTTCTCATCCCTGTCCCCTTTCCCCCTGTCCTCCCCGCCCTTGTTCCCTTCCCCCCTTCCCCCCCATCACCACCAGTCCTCTGGCCGGGGCAGTCATCATAGCCAATCAGCTCATGCGTGCATTGTTCCTCCTTGATGGGTTCTGTGTCTCCTCATTACTACCCCCTTCGCCCCCCTGTCCCCTTCGCCCCTGTCCTCCTGACGCCTGTGTCCCTCCCTTGTACCCCCCACACCTGCCCCTCTCGCCCCTGTTCCTCTCGCACCTGTCTCCCTCGCCCCTGTCCCCTTCACCATCAGACCTCTAGCGGCGGCAGTCATAGCCAATCAGCTCATGCATGCATGGTTCCTTCTCGATGGTACGTCGCTCCTTGCCTTGCGTGCCTTATGTCTGTTTGGCTTTGCTCTGACTCATAGCCAATCAGCTCATGCATGCATGGTTCCTCCTCGATGGTAAGTCCCCTTGTCTTTTCATGCCATAACTTTCCTCATGAGTCATGCATACATGGTGGTCCTGCCGATGTCTGTCTATCTCTCTCTGCTCTGGGTCATGGCCAATCAGCTCATGCACAATGCATGCATGGTTCATCCTCGATGGTACATCCCGTGCCTCGTGCATGCATTGAGTGTTGATCAAGCGCCTGCTGTCACGAGCTATGAGACATGTATGGACTTGGCTCTCACGATACTGGGTGTGTTGATCCTGGGCAGGGCACTGCAATTACCAGCAGTACCTGCTCTCAACCCTCTCCTGGCCTCGCTCCCTCCTCCTTTCCCCACAGGTGCCTTCGCTGCTCTCCCATTAAAAATCAAAGAGGCCATGTGCCAAGTTATGGCACACCTGTGGTTACAGCATTACCAGCAGCAGCTCAAACCGCCTTTTCTTCCCTTCCCTTCTCATCCCCGCAGGTGCCTTCTCAGCGCTTCCCTCAGAGATCGAGGAGGCCATGTGCCAAGTCATGGCGCACCTGTGGTTACAGCGTTACCAGCAGCAGCTCAAGAGCCCCTCTGCCTTCCAGTCTGGCTTCCTCGAGTTCTGCCTCACTCGCGTTGCCTCCGACCCCTCCCCTGCTCTGCTCGACTCGTTCCGCTCCGCCTACTCTGCTGTGGTCTTCAAGGGCCTGCTTGCCACCATTCAAACACTCCGCATGTCCAACACCCTCCCTGCTATCTAGCCCCAACACTCCTGCAATTTTAGCCCCAATCCCCTCCCTGCAATCCAAGAGCTACAATCGACTCCTTCCGCTCCGCCTACTCAGCTGTGGTATTCAAAGGCCTCCTTGCCACTATCCAAACACTCCGCATGTCCAACACTCTTCCCGCAGTCTAGACTCGACAGTCAACACTCTTCTTTGGAACTAGACTCGACATTCTTCCTGCAATCTAGCCCCACATATCAACTCGCCAGCTTCGCAGCTTCTGCCTCACCACGCCTGCATCTGCTCTGCTTCTCACCCCATCTCTGCCCGCCTCTACTGCTGGTGTTCCGTATCCTTTAAGGTGCCTTAAGAGTAGACCGTTCCTGCTCCACATCCTCTCCACAAAGGTCCTTGTTTGTAGCCATTATCCATCCAAGACCAAATATTGCCTTGATCGGCTGACTTTATGCTTCGTATGTCTAATAAACTGTTCATCTTTGCGCTATCTCGTAAGTACCAGCTGACCTCTGCCCTCCAGTCTCTGCATCCAGGCACCTGGGACCATAATTTATCACCAGCGTTTTTGCAGAGTGGTACATAAGGCATCCAACTATTTGCTAACCAAGCAATATATTTGGGAAAGTATATCCCAGCTCCTGACTTGCAGATTTCTCTTATATTTAGCCCTGAGGGTAGATTCCACTGTGGACACTGTCCCAATCGATGTGTCCCAATCGAGTGTACCGCTCTGAACCGAACTAAACCAGAGACGCGAAAATTTCGAAGCTAGGGTGCAATTTGGTGTAATACGATGCAGTGCGGTAGAAACGATTGAGACACTTTCGATTGGGACATGTCCACCGCGGAATGTACCCTTAGTTAACTAAAACGACACCATTTTCTAGAATTTCTCTCACGCGAGGCCCAAAGTATGTTCAAAACTGGTCCTGCGGGGCGAATTTTTCGACATGTGTCCTCTTGTTACACCATCTGATGCACTTCCACGCATTGGAAAATTTGGACGGAGGCAAATAACATACCGTAAAACCCCTAGGAAACTGGCTGGGACACATTCGCGGGAGGGATCAACGCTAAACACCTAGCAGGTCTCGTGTTAAGGGTTGATCCCTCCCAAAAATGTATATTGGTCCCCTAGGGGTTTAATGTTTTTTGCCCCGTCAAATTTTTTTCCAGCGCGAAAATTGCCCCGACAAACGGTTAGTTCAGAGTGGAAGTGCATCAAATGGTAACAAGAGGACACGTGTCAAAAACTTCGCCCCGCAGAACCAGTTTTGAACATACTTTGGGCCTCGCGTGAGAGAAATTATATAAAGTGGTGCTTTTTGAGCAAACGTAAAGCTAAATATGTTGAAAGTTAGAACGAGGAATGGATCACCTAGCAAACAGGTGGGGTACAAGTGGGAAAACCTAAAAGTGTTGTACCCCATATTGTCTACCCTGCTGCAGCCTACACAGACCATAGCATATAAGTTTGTGTCATAAATAGTAGGCAGAAAGATAGAACAGGAAAGAGAGATTTGCACTAGGAGGCAGGTGAGCACATATAGGAAACCCTAATTTGGGTTGTACTCGCTATAAAGTACCCCACTGCAGGCTAGACAAATGCAACATTCTGACATACCCCCATAGCCAAAGTGGGGTGTAATCAGCACAACAAGCAGGCAGAGCAATAGTTCACAATGATAAGCAAAGCTAGAAGCTATCACAGAGGGCAAGTGATGAGGAGGGACTATGAGAGGAGAGGACGTGGTGGGCGGCAGCTGAAATTGCTGGCACACGGCGCAACTGGAGCAACTGGAGCAACTGGCACACGAGCAACTGGAGCAACTGGCACACTGGCAACTGAAGCAACTGGCACACGGGCAACTGGAGAAACTGGCTCCGCGACTAGACGAGCGGCAGGAGCAACAGGCTCACGGGCGACTAGAGCAACGGGCTCACGGGCGACTGGAGCGACGGGCTCACAGGCGACTGGAGCGACGGGCTCACGGGCAACTGGCGCAACGGTCTCACGGGCGACTGGAGCTGCTCGCTTCACGGTGACCACCCCCCTTCAACCTCCCCCAATGTCCCAAAACTCCCATTCACACACCCCCTGCTGTTCCTCCAGCACTACACCCACGACACCCCCCTAGCGCCACACCCGCGTCTCCCACACATCCACCCCCCTCAGCGGCAGCTGCAGCAGTGGGAGACGGAGTAGGAGGAGGAGCAGGGGACGGCTCACACATCCGTCACCCCCATACTCGCCACCCCCAAACCCTAACACAGGCAGCACGGGGCAGGAGAGCGTGCAACAGTGGGAGCGGTGCTCCTGGTGAAGCGGGACGGCTGGGGCAGGCTGTACGGGCCGCGCACGGGCCTGGCGCGGGCCGTACGAACCGCGCTTGGGCTGTACGGGCCGCGCGCGGGCCTGGCGCAGCCCGTACAAGCCGCGCGCAGGCCTCGCGCAGGCCGTACGGGCCGCGCGCGGGCCTAGCGCAGCCAGTACGAGCCGCGCGCGGGCCTGGCGCAGGCCGTACGGGCCGCGCGCGGGCCTGGCGCAGGCCATACGGGCCGCGCGCGGGCTGTACGGGCCGCGCGCGGGCCAGGCGCAGGTCGCGCGGGCCGCTTCGGGCGACGGGGGGCGACGCGCGGGTCCCCGGGGGCGCTACGACGGGCGACGGGGGGCGACGCGCGGATCGACAGGGCAGAAAACCGCCGCGCGCCCCGAGCGCTCGGCGGGCAAGAAACCGTCACGCGCCCCGAGCGCGTAGCGGGAAGAAAAAATGTCGCGCGCCCACAGGACAGCAGCGGAAGCTAACGGTGGGCGCACAGGCCAGGAGCGTAACCGCTCTGATAGCATGTCAGAAATAGTAGGCAGAAAGATAGAACAGGAAAAAGAGATTTGCACTAGCAAGCAGGTGAGCACATATAGGAAACCCTAATTCGGGCTATACTTGCTATAGAGTACCCCACTGCAGGCTAGACAAATGCAACATTCTGACAGTTTGACACACCCCCATGGGCAAAGTGGGGGAGGACAAGAGGTCACAAGACCAGTCAAGAAGAGCAAAGCAAGCTCAGGGTGGATCACGACGTCACCACACATTCCAAGCACAAGCAAGCGGCCACAAGGCCAGTTCACACGCAGAGTTATATATAAAGTAGAACAAGCAAGAATGTGATCACAACCTAGCAAGTGTAAGGATGCAGGTATATATATAGAGATCACAGTACAAGCAAAGTCAAGAAGTGAGCAAGTGAGGCCAAGTGGGGACAAGGCCTAGAACAGTACAGAACCGTTGATGATCACAAGGCTGAAGTGCCTTTATGAAGATATCAGCCGTGTTGGCCTAAGAGGCTACGTAAACAAGACGAAGCTGACCACGCTGCTGCAACTCTCGAGCGGGTAGACCGCCATGAGACAGAACCGGAACCAAGGCTGAAGGTGTAACCCTGTGACGACCGCTGCGTAGCCAAGTCGTCAACCCAAGAAGCGTCTGCGTGACCGGTGACAACAACTGGACCCCGTCCCCCAAGCACGAGCCCCATGCCCGACGTACTGCACAAGTAGCGCATCACCCTCTTAGCTTCCTTCCAGTGCTTTGCTCGGTGTCTCCTGGGCGCAACGTAGCGTGCCAGGATGCTAAGAGGGTAACCAAGGTCAGGACGAGTGCAGGTCATCAGGTACATGAGGTAGCCGACAAGCTCTGGATACGGGCCACTTGGCTCTACGGACTCATCCGAAGGCAGAGTGAGCGAGTGACCGGTAGGCGGAGGAGTGGACTGTGGCGAGGAGTACTAGAAGTCGAAGTGCTGAAGGACCTGCTGCACCATGTGTGACTGAGTCAGAAGATGGTGCGGCGTGCTCTGTCCCAAGTGATCTGCAAGCCAAGATAGCTGCGCAGCTCATCGAGGTCTATGCACGTGTGTCTCTTCTGCAATTCCGACTTCACTAGAGTCAGTGCCTCAGTATCAGCAGTGGAAAAAACCAACTCGTCGACGTACACGAGGGTGTAGAACGGCGGCAGCGAAGTGTCAGTGCGCAGAAACAGTAGAAGGAGCAAACCTAAGAGCCGCAAGAGTCGTCCTCAGTGTCTCGTGCCACTCCTGAGGCTCCTGGCGGAGACCGTAGACTAGCCGCCGGAGGCTCCACTGGATACCAGGAGGGAACGACCCAGTGAAGCCAGGTGGGCGGCGCAACCAGATCTCCTCGTGAAGGCTGCCCTGTAGGAAGGCTGTGCTGAAGTCAAGAGAGTGAAGCTCGTAGTCACGCTGAGCAGCGACGTGCAACAGTACCTGAAGAGTGGTCATCTTCGGGGTAGGTGAGAAGGTCTGAAAGTAGTCGACTCTCTGTCACTGACTGAAGCCTCGAGCAACGTAACGCGCCTTGAAGACAGGAGGAGAACCCGGCGGCTGCTTCACCTTGAAAATCCACATGCCATCGACATTGTTCGCCCCAGGCAGGAGAACCTCGTCAACGTAAGAGCCTGTGGACTTCCAGGAAGCCATCTCTGCGTCCATGGCTGTCTGCCACTGAGAGGAGTAGGGACCCTCAACCGCCTCTGCTTAAAAGCGCGGGGTCGGGATGTCTGGTGCATCCGGGTCTCCCTCAGGGGTAAGCAGCATGGACACGAGATGAGGTAAATGTCAAAATTAGAAGAAGAAAGAGGAATGAACTAGCAGAAATGGGGATACAAATAGCAAACCCTAGAAGGGTTGTACTCGCTATAGAGCACCCCACTACAGGCTAGAACATAAGAATAATATTCTGACACACCCCCATAGCCAAAGTGGGGTGTAATCAGCAGAGCAGGCAAAGCAAAACAAGCTCAGGGTGGATCACAATGTCACCACACATTCTGAGCACAAGTTCAAGAAGAAATAGTTTAGAGTTCACAATTATAAGCAAAGCTAGTGGTAGTCACAACGGGCAAGTGAGGAGGAGGAGGGAGAGTGAGGGGAGAGGAGACAGGAGGCGACGGCTGAAGCTGCAGACACACGGGCAACAGGAGGCAGACTGGCACAGCGGC